GCCTAACTGTTTTCATTAAGTACCACCGAGTAGGTTCCTACTCACACAACCCTGTATAGAGTTCTCAAGGAGTGATTCGTGAATTTGAAGCACCAACGTTGTATATCATTTGATTTCTTGACTGCGGATCCTATGAGTGCTGCTTGTGAGTCAACACAATATGAAGTCTTTGACAACTACAATCTTTCCCTAGTTATCATAATGCTGCTTATTGGTCCAGTGGTGAGGATTCTAGTTTTCCTTACAAAGAGATATAATCCATACTGAAGACTATGAAGTCTTTGATCTTCATCAGTATTTCTGATCTTCCTCACTAAGTATTTCAAATCCTCTTTGCTTTCAGCAAGCAAGGCTGTGTTATTTGAATACTGCAGGTTGTTAAATGAGTCTTCCTACAATCCTGCAGCCTTTTGGATTATTTGCTCAGCATACAGATAGTATAAGCATAATGACAGGACACAACCCTGGCACAGACCTTTCCTAATTTTAAGCCACTCAGTATGCCTTTGTTCTGTTCGAAAGGCTGCCTTTTGGTCTATAAGTTCCTCATGAGCACAATTAAGTATTCTGGAATATCCATTCTTCAAAATGTTATCCATAGTTTTTTTTGCTTTGTTCTATTTTAATGACTCACACAATTGAAAGTCTATGCATAGTCAATAAAGCTCTCAAAAGCACAAGTAAACATCTTTCTGGTATTTTCTGTTTTAAGCCAAGTTCCATCTGACGTCAGTAATGATATTCCTAATTCCGTGTCCTTTTCCGAATCAAGCTTGAATTTTTGGCAGCTTCCTCTCAACGTACTGCTGCAATCATTTTTTAACTATCTTCAACAAAATTTTACACAAAACAGATGATTTCCACATTCTGTTCAGTCACACTTTCTTTGCAAATGGGCATAAATATGGATCTCTTCCAGTGAGTGGACAAGTAACTGTCTTTCAAATGTCTTGACATAGATGAGTGTGTACTTTCAGTGTTACATCAGTTTGTTGAAATTTCTCTATTTGTATGCTGTCAATTCCTGAAGCCTTGTTTTTCAACAATGTCTTCAGTGCTGCTTGGACTTCTTCCTTCAGTACCATCGGTTCTTGATCAGATAGTACTTCTTGAAATGAAAGAACATTGACTAATTTTTTTTGGTACAGTATACCTACCATCCATCTTCTTTTAATGTTCTCTTGTCCATAGAATCCCTCAATATTGTAACCCTAGGCTTGGATTTTTTTTCTTCAGTTCACCCTAAGAAATGCTGAGCATGTTCTTCCCTTTTGATTTTCTATCTTCAGGTCTTTACACATTTCATTATAATATTTGATTTTGTTGTCTCATGATGCCTTTTGAAATTTTCTGTTTAGCTCTTTTACTTCATTTCTTCCTGTCACTTTTTCTTCTCTGTGCTCAAGAGCAAGTTTCAGAGTCCATCTGACATTCATTTTGATCTTTCCTTTTTTTTTTTTTTTTAAATGACCTTTTGCTTTTTTCATGTATGATGTTCTCTATGTCATTCCACAACTCTACAGGTCTTTGGTCATTAGATTCTAATGTATCAAATTAGTTTTTGAGATTATCTATAAATTTAGGTAGGATATAGTCACGGTCATATTTTGACTCTTGTGGACGTTATTTTCATTTTCTTCAGCTTCAGATAAACTTGTATATAAGCAATTGATGGTCCGTTCCACAGTCGTTCCCTGGCCTTGTTTTGGCTAATGACAAGGAGCTTCCATGGTCTCTTCCCACAAATGTAGCCAATTTGGTTTCTGTGTATTCTATCTGGTGAGGTTGATAAAAACCTTTTATGTTGTTCAATAAAGGAATTTATAATGAATAAGTCATTCATCTTGCAATATTCAATCACGGAATCTCCAGCATCGTTTCTGTCACCAAGAACGTATTTTCCAGCTGTGGATCCTTCCTCTTTGTTTTCAACTTCCACATTCCAATCACCCATAATTTATCAGTGCATCTTGATTACATGTTTGATCTATGTCAGACCCATGAGACAAAAGAAAAATATAGGTTTCCCCCACTATTCAAAATCAGAATTCCTATGAAAACCTTTACAAGCCAAAATGACATAAAGAAGCAATTACCATTAATTCATATGGGAGAAAACTTTTGAGCATTCAGAGATCCAAAAAATAACCTAGCAAAGAATACAAAAAACCTAAAATATTACTAACATATAGCATTCACAGACACAATTCAAAGTGCTGGCAGCTTGATGCTGAGATGCTGAGTGCAGTTACCAGGGAAGGAGCTTGGCATCACCACTCTCATTGCTCAAACTGTGTACAGCCTCTTCAATGGCTCGCTGAGAAAAAATTTTTAATGCTAAAAACACTAGGTTTGCCTTTTGACTTTTTTCATAAAAGCGAAAATTCTCTTCAGATTTCTTTTGGTTAGCCACACGTGGCCCTTTCATAAAGGCAAAGTGGGGCAGAGCAAACTTTTGAAAAGCAGGGCATACCTGTATGGCTTTTTTTTTTAACTTTCCAAAGAATAAACAGTTAAGTTTTACTTGACTTTGAAAATGTATGGAACATGTTGTTTAAATAAGACAGTGGAGCAAATATCCAAGAAAAGTTCAGGTATCTAATATTTCATCTTCAATGCCTTCAAAGAACAATTTAACAGTGCAGTACAGACCCTCCTTGTTAAAAAACAGAATAATCTTGCAGTTAAGAAACCATGTTGCATGGGTGGAATGGAAGCAGGAACCACAGGGAAGAAGCAGGATACCTTTTGGTATGGAGTTACAATCATTGAGACAAAACAATGTGTATTATTTACTGAATGTAAAGCTGATGATCTTGTCTGTGTAACTGCACTCAATTCACAATGAAAAGTTTTTAAAAATTAAAATATATTTATGCATTCTATTTCAGATAAAAAAGAAATAATGTTGATTATTAACAGATTTTTTAATGTGACTACTTTACAGATGTTGTTGTTATTAGGTGTTGTCCTGTCAGTTCCAATTCATAACGACCCTATGCACAACAGAATGAAACACTGCCCAGTCTTGTACCATCTTCACAATTGTTGCTATGCTTGAGCTCATTGCTACTGTACCAATCCATCTCATTGGGGGTCTTCCTCTTTTTCACTGAACTTCTACTTTACCAAGGAGCTCTGGTAGCATAGTGGTCACAAGTCAGGCTGCTAAACTAAAGGTCAGCAGTTCGAAACTACCAGCTGTTTCATGGGAGACACATGAGGCTTTCTGCTCCCAAAAAGTTTACAGCCTCAGAAACCTAACTGTTGTTGTTAGGTGCCATCGAGTCAGTACTGACTCATAGTGACCCCTATGCACAGCAGAACGAAACGTACCCGATCCTTGGCCAACCTCACTACTTTTGTCACGCTTGAATCCATCGATGCTGCCACTTGGCTACCATCTCTTTGGGGGTCTTCCTCTTTTCCTCTGACCCTCCACCTTACCAAACATGAAGTCTTTCTCCAGCAACTGGTGCCTCTTGACAGTATTTCCGAAGTATGAGAGACGAAGTTTGACCATCTTGGCCTCCAAGGAGCACTCTGGCTGCACTGGCACTTTCAATATTCTCCTCCAACACCATAACTCAAAAGCATCAATTCTTCTACAGTCTTCCTTATTTAGGGTCATTATTAGTTAAAACCGACTCCATGGCACACAACTACCACCACCACCACTTGACCAAGCACGATGTCCTTCTCCAGCGACTGGTTCCTCCTGAGACCATATCTCAACTATGAGACACTGAGTCTCACCTCCGAGCTTCTAAGGAGCACTCTGGCTGTACTTCTTATAACACAGATTCGTTTGTTCTTCTGGTAGTCCATGGTATGTTCACTATTCTTTTCCAACACACTCTTCTGACATCCGTTTTGGTCTTTTCTTTCTTTACTGTCTAGTGCTTTAGTAATAACTAAAATAACAACAAACAAAACCCTGCATGCTAAAATATTCCATCTAATGTTCTATAGTAATTCATAGAATGCTTCGTGTAGATAGATTTTAATGAAAGGGCTAAAGAGACCAAAGCAGGTAGGGTAAGTATTTAACAGTGGTTCTCAAATAGGACCAATCATTACAATAACTGGAAGACATCTACTTAAAGGCACTGTGGTATGGTGGGTTAAATTTTGGTCAGCCAATTCAAATTGTTGAGCATGATGAAGCAGTCTGCTTCCATACGGATTTACAGCCTCAGAAACCCTACTCTGTCCTAGCAGGTTGCTATGAGTTGGCATCAACTTGATGGCAGTGGGATTGGCTTCTTTTGTTTTACACATTTTGAAAGGAAAACTATTTCAATGTCCGTAAATACTAATTTCAGAAGATATGACACCAAAATCTGTTATCTTCAAAAGTTTCTTGATGAGATTCTGATCATCAGCAAGATCTTGAAATCACTGACTTATGCTGACTTTAGTTTATCCCCGTTACGAATGAGATCCATTTCTAACTGTCTTTAAGAATTTGTAGATAAATGTGACCAAGTACATACAATTCTTACTTAACATTACTTTAGTGAGAACCCTACATAGGGTCCCTATGAGTAAGAATCTACTCAATGGTATGCGCTGTCTGTAAGTAGAATGTTCTTAACCTGTGGAATGCCTATTGCTGCTGTTGTTAGGTTCTGTCAAGTCGGTTTCAACTCATAGCGACCCTATGTAGGGTTTCCGAGGAGGGGGTGGTGGGATTGAACCACTGGCTTTGTGGCTTGCAATCCAGTGCTTAATATTCAGTGCCACATCAGGACTCCAGGAATGCCTATTGTTGTTGTTGCTTAGTGTGAATGAGTCGGTTCCAACTCACAGCAACTTTGTATAGGATTTCCAAGGAATAGCTGTTGAGTTTGAACAGCCAATCTTGCAATTCAAACCAACCAGTACTTATCCTACAGTGCATACCAGGACTCCACAGGAAATGTCTATAGTTACTTCTATTTGCTTTAAGCACAATTATAATGCTATACATAAAAAAATGATGAAATTATTCTTCTTACCTTGGATACATTGCTGACATAATTCATTTGAACTGTGCTTTCCTTATCAACTTGATTACAAAGGTTCTGTAAAGTAGTTGCGTATTCTTTATCACTTTTTATTCTCAGGGCCATAAATTTTTTCACTGTTTCTAATAACCGTAATTCCCAGTCTTGCAATTTTAACACAGCTTCATGTGAATTCTGCAGTTCACTCCCAAATCCCATTTTTGTAAGGCACTGTCTTTATCCTCCACACTGCACAATGAGCCTTCTAATCAGCACATATCTGTGTAAGTAAACAGAAGAAAATAAACTTATATAAAAAGGAAACAAGTCTTCAAACTAAAGTTATACCCATTCTTTTTAAGGTAAAAATCACTACAGAATGCTTTTCCCCTGAGATGAGGGCAAAGATAAGACTGTCTTCTGTTCTCACTACTCTTATTTAACATCCTACTAGAGCCTCTAGACAGTACAGTGGAAAATAAATAATAAAAGGTATTCAGATTGCAAAGAAAGAAGTAAAATTATCTCTGTTCACAGATAACATGACCTTAAACACAGAAAATTCCAAGGAATGCAATTTTAACAAGAATTAAAACTAGTAAGTTAGTTTAGCAAGTTATTGATTAAAAAAAATCAATATACAAAAATTAATTGCATTTTTACACTAACATTAATCCATCTATATTTGTAAAACGATATTTATAATGCTGTTGTTTTTAAGTGTCTTTGAAACTGTTCCATCTCATAGCAGACCTGTATAGGGCTTCAGAGGCTTTTAAATCTTTAAGGGAGCAGAAAACCTCATCTTTCTTCTGCAGAGCAGCTGGTGGGCTTGAACCATGGAACTTGTAGTTTTCATTGCATATGACATCATAAAGAGTAAAACAGACCAAACCTCATACCATATATAAAAAACTAACTCCAAATGGACTCAGGATCTAAATATAAAAATTAAAACAAAAACTCTAAGAAGGAAATAAGGGATACTGCC